TACAAAATATTTTCCAGTTCCACTGGAAAGTTTAAAAACTCAGCAGATGAGAGACAAGGGAAAGAGTAACAAGTACAAAGTTTTGAGCTGGAAAAAATAGAGCACACCGAACTGAAGAAAAACATTAAATGAGAAATCAAGGAGGATAATATTTAAAGAAAGAAAAAGTGAGGAACAAGTTGAAGTCAGTAGGAAGAGAAAGGTTCCATGTATAGCCAAAATTGGCAGGTATTAATAACAGCCTTTGAGGAAGGAAAGAGTGGCTTGAATTAAATAACCACCAGGCAAGAGATCAGAAATATTTTTCTCTGCCTCAAGGATCCAAACATAACAGTGTTGGGAAAACCCCCACAGAGTGCCTAATGTGGGAAAAACACAGATTACAGATCACATCTGATCATACACAACAGGATCCATCCAGTGAAAAAACATATAAATGTTTGGATTGTGGCAAAACCTTTTCTCGGAAAAGCTTCCTCGTGATTCATGCAAGAACACATACTGGAGAGAAGCCCTACCATTGCTCTCAATGTAGCAAAAGATTTACCACTCATTCCAATCTGGTGAATCATGAGAGGACTCACACTGGTGAGAAACTCTTTGAATGTCCTGTTTGTGGGAAAAGTTTCAGTCAAAATTCCCACCTGGTAGAACACCAGACAACACACACAGGAGAGAAACCGTATAAATGTCCTGTTTGTGGGAAAGGTTTCAGTCGGAATGCCTCCCTTATAGAACACCAGAGGACTCACACAGGAGAAAAACCATATGAGTGCCCAGATTGTGGGAAAAGTTTCAAGCGTAATTACTATCTGAAGAGACACAAGAGCACTCATACGGGTGAGGAACCATATGAGTATCCAGATTGTGGGAAAAGTTTCAATCACAAATCCCACTTGATGAAACACCAGACCACACATACAGGAGAAAAACTGTATTGTTTAGATTGTGGGAGAGGTTTTACTTGCAATTCTGACCTGGTGATACACCAGAGGACTCACACACGGAAAAAACCGTATGAGTGCCTGAATTGTGGGAAAAGTTTCAGTTGGAATTCCTCCCTTATAGAACACCAGATGACTCATACAGGAGAGAAACCATATGAGTGTCCAGATTGTGGGAAAAGTTTCATTAATAAGTCTTACCTAGTGATACACAAGAGGTTCCACACAGGAAAGAAATCATATGAGTGTGCAGATTGTGGGAAAAGGTTCAGTCGTAATTCCTCCCTTATAGAACACCAGAGGACTCACACAGGAGAGAAACCATACGAGTGTGCAGATTGTGG